GGACTCCGGCGGGAACCCCTGATCCAACATGGGCTACCAACCAACCAACCCTTATCTTTTCCGGCAATACTACCTACGACAGAATAGTCCAATTACCATTTTACTGACGAATGGCATGCAATAATTATAGTTTTGTTGCAGCAAATCCTGGTTACAAGCAATTGGAGATGTTTGACCAGATAAAAAACATTAAAATCCATGGGTGTTTAGTCCGGGAGCCTTTCAGACGTTCATAACTTATCTGTGTGTATCTGTGGGCAGATTATGGCTCCACACTTTCGCAGGTCGCGTGACTGTGCCGTGGGAATAAATAGTATTTCAGAACTGGCTGCGTATCCTATTTTTTGCAGATGTCTTAACTCTTTCGCCGGATATATCCACTGTTTCATGATCTTTTTCACCCCCAACTCTTCGCCTCCCCCTACTTCACACTCCTCTGAACGCAACCTTTAAAACGCATGCGAACCATCACTGTTTGTCCATTGGCTGTGCTATCGTTTGTGCATGTATGCCTGTTGTCTGTGTGTATATATATAGAGCACCAGCGGCACCTTTCTGTCCCCCCGCCTCGTTTCCGAGAAGTTCTCCTGTACGACAACTAATAGTCCCAGCCTCACGGCCCTGTGTACTTCGAGTTGTAGTAGTTGCAGCAGTAACAGCGACAGCAGTAGCAGCAGTAGTACCTGCTCTAGCACGAGTAGCAGCACGGATGGCGTGGAGCATATCGATCACAAGGTTGCCTCCAACAGTTCGCCTCCCTCGTCCGCCGTATTAGTGACTGCAGTTGACACGGTTCCCACCGAAACTTGTGTCACTTCTAGTGCTTCTGCTGCTGCTCCTGTTTCTGAATCTCTACAGCCTTCTTCGCCGTTTGAGCGCTCCCGCCTTGCCCGTTTCAACGCCATCGATTCTGATTGGTCCCCAACCGCTCAATACCCCTGTGCTCGCAGTTTCTCCTTTCACCAGCCCTCCGACATGGAACAGCAGCGTTCTTTCGTCCTAGATCGAGCCCTTTGTCAGTACCGCCGGGATCGGGGGGTAAACGCCGCCCGCCGAGATCATTTGTGGGGCCTTTATGATGTTACTGACGATAATTTCTCCGTCAGCTCACCCGCTGTATTCCCATCTTCCGTTGATCATTTCACCGTTATGGTTCGGACATTTGTTGACGAGTGTATTGACGAGGCTGTGGCAAGACTGAATCCGCCACCTTCGTCGCCGACCTCCTCTGTTAGTGAACTCGCCTGGACAAATTCTCCCACTTCTTCCTGCTGTTCGCGCGCCTCTTCAGCGCCTCACACGCCCCAAATTGCTGCCGAACTGGTGGAACAAACCATCCAGGAAGTGCTAGACTTTCAGTTGCAGGTGCAGTCTTTGGTGGAAGAAGTGTTGACGGCGGCCCTCGAAAATATCCTCTTCTCCGAATGCCCTCCGTTGAAACTGGCGTCATGTTTGAATGCGCCCAGCCCCGAGGCTGTGACTGTGATCCCGACGTACTGCCTTAATGAATCTGGTTCATCCCGCTACGCGACAACTATTGGCTGTTTCGTGGCGCCCGCTGTCACTGAGGAGGTGGTACAGCAGGTGCCTCGCCTGGCAATGCCACGTAGTTTCACCATTTCCCTGTCTCTCGGCAGTCTCACCTCGACGTCCTCACAGCAGTCGCTGTGCTCGCAGTCGTCAGAGGACTGGCTTGCGAGTTTGGATTATTTACGTGAAACTGATGACGACTCAGCGGCCCTGCGATCCTGGTCACAGGTAGAGGGCGTGGAAGTCCCACCCCCCATGTCTATCTTATCGCATCATGTACTCATTTTCTGCCTGCGTCATTATCATACCCCCCCCGTTCCCGTAGTAATCGCTCGTGTTGTTTGGCTTTTCTTACTTCCTCCGAGACGCACGTTATCATATGTTGTAGCTTTATTTCTTTGGCTTTCGTGCTCTGTAATCAGTTGATAGCATGGGTCTCTCACTCATCACTGACGCTTTATTTCTCACCATCATGTCCGTTGTCTTCTAAGTTAGTTAGTTTATATGACTGCATTCTCACTGTTCTGTTCCCTGTTATTTTTTCCCAGCCTCTACTCACAGTGTTTTCTCTCTCTTTTTGACTATATGCAGGATGAATTCGTCAAAGAGTACAAGAATGATCATGTAAGTTTTGCGCTTTCTACTATAGAGCTCAGTTGTTTACCTCCGTAATGCCCATTCACAACCTAATCGGTTAGACACCTTGTTTAATTTTTCTTGACTTCTCTAACACTGTATCTAGTAGTCACGCGTGCGTTAAACCCAATGATAACAACTATCAAGGCAGTACGGTACTATTAAGCAAAAAGTAGTAAGGGATAAACAATGTACAAACCTCAACAATGGATACACAATGTCGGCCAAATCGCCTGACTCCATACAGGGGAAAAATATAGTTCAGCCGCTACGCCGGGCGAAACAAGCCTTGGGAGAGCGTGTTAATCTTAGTGGAGGAGGGGGGCGTGGCTCTGCTTCTATATGATTTCAGGAGGCCATTCATGTGACATCAGGACTGCTCTGAAACGCCAGCGCGAAGGAAGGGGGCTCCGTGTACAGAGGCAATACTGTTCCGGCCAGGTGGGTGGTAATTTTAGTGGGTCTCCATCAAAAAGTTACTTCACGGGTCTTCATCTTGGCTAGTCGAAACAGTTTTCTATTGAGGCAGCGGGGGGCCGACAGCATTGTGGGACGAAGGGATTAAAGGCAAGGAAGCCGAACGGGGGGTAGGAACAGTATTCAAGTACCACTTAGCCGGGGGGGCTGGTTTTGGCATCAGTGAGCATTTGACTGAAAAAAAAGGTTAACAGGCAAGGAGATATGGGCGCTCGAATCAGAGGACGGGACAAAGCTTTCATAAGAAGGAAACTATCATATGTAGGTCGAACAGGATTTTCGCTGGAGAAAGGCCATGAAGGATTTCAGGCTTACTCAGCCGGAATTAACACATCTCGTCGGTTAGCGAGGTTCTGGCTGATATTAAGTTGTTCATTCCCAGGCTGCTCAACACTTTTTATTAACTAGGTTCGATACGTTCACTATTTTTTCCCCACTACACGTACATTTACTTGGTTAACAGACAGTGACCTTCTTGCTACTTACAATTTTAAAGTCAGTTCATCTTCCACAGCTTTTTATGTATCTGTGTTTTTCCTCTGTAATGTTATTGTACCAAATAGGCGGGTCATAGGCGTTCGTCTACCTTTCCCCGAACTGAATTGGTTGCCTCTTTTTCTGTCGACCTTTCAGCCCCTGGACTATTACTCGCATTTTGTCGTGTCCCCAGACAGTGAATACCTCCACGCGCCCAATGTGACTGCACCACCAATGCCACAGGAGGAGGAACTGGTTGTTCATATTAAGGCTAACTCCTTCCCCCTTGGTAAGCCTTTTTGTCTGCCAGCCATTGACTATCGACCACCTAATGCTCAGCGTTCTTGCACCGGAGTCCACACTTACCCAGCCATTTCAATTTAGTCCTAATTTTGTTGTTTTAACGATACCATCCTCCCTCCCTCCCCCCGCTGGGACGTCTAACAAGGACTCACGAATCCTGACACCCCTGTCACCCAATAATAGGGTTAAGCCCTAGCTCGCCAGACAGTAATTGTGTGAGAAGATTTGGTGTTTATAACCCTGAATTCGGGGTTGACCAGATCAGTGTTTCAGGGTTGTCTCAGGTGGCCGTTGCAGTAAGATTTGTAGCCTCGGACTTCTGGGCCTTCCGTAGGTGACCAGTTGGCCACACCAATATTCACCAAAGCCTGAAAGGTATAATCGTTTTTTTTAAATCGGATTAGAAAGCTTTCTTTCCTCAAAACTGTTAGGACGAGCCTAATGGATAGCCAGCAGGCAGCTAGCATATAAGCAGCGAGCCGCTCTCATTGCAGGCTATCGATCGGCCTTTACACGCGAACGCATACTTGCGGTCAATCAATCAATAATTTCAATTTCAAGTAGCATTCAGCCGTCGAGTCACCAGCCAATCGTGCCCCTAGCCAAGCCA